TCTATCTATCTAGTCTATGTACAAGTGCACTGCTATCACTATGAATATAACGGACAAAGAAAGCGGACAAAATATACAGTTCCTCAGGTAGGTTCTAGGACAATTACCCCCTGGGCAATCCCCCCCCCGGAAAGTTACCCCGGAAAACTACCCCCCAAGGACAATTACCCCTCGGAGAATTACCCCCCGGAGAATTACCCCCCCGAGGACAATAACCCCCTAAGGACAATTACCCCCCGGAAAATTACCCCCCGGAGAATTACCCCCGAGGACAATTACCCCAAGGACAATTACCCCCCGGATAATTACCCCCCGGAGAATTACCCCCCGAGGACAATTACCCCCCGGAAAATTACCCCCCCCCCCCGGAGAATTACCCCCGAGGACAACTACCCCCCGGAAAATTACCCCCCCCCCGGAGAATTACCCCCGAGGACAATTACCCCCCGGAAAACTACCCCATGAGGAATTACCCCACGAGGACAATTACCCGCCCCCGAGGACAATTCCCCCCCCCCCCGGGGGACAATCAGGATTCAATAGCAAAAGACGATCTGACACGTTGAGAGATGCTGTGAAGGCTACGAGCCCATAAAATCCCGTGCATGAACCCACATTCGTCCAAATACTTGCGCGTGATCTTCCTCATTACTACACATTTTTCTTTAGCTATAATGTATGCAACAACACTGTGGTTACTGTTTTCTACGAAGGATTTCTCTTGTGCAGCGTTATTTCAACTTTTTGTTCGACACGATGCCCTCTTAAGAAATGAAAAGTTTCGCCCAATCTTAAATTCTTCACAAACTATTTATTTTGCATCACTCTGGCACTCGTCAAGTGCTATGTACACACGTATGGGCACATTTGTTTCTTGATTTAGTGAACGAGCAAGAAAAACAAGGACAAGACATTTTCAAAATGGTAAAACATAATGTTGTAATCAACACACTAGCACAGATTAAAGGTATGCGGGCGCCTCACCGCCGAATGTACACGAATATAAAGTGAAATATTCGGTCATGACCTTGTTGCACGAATATGAGGATATTCGGGCCTCTCGTTGCCTTGATTCATCATGTTTATAATTGTGATGAGTGTGGTAACAATGTAATGTCGAAATAAAAGATATATATTCGCAAAATATTGTCAGCGAGCGAGGAAGAAAGACATTTTATTATTTGTTTACATTTTATTTTCTCATGAAAATAAATACTCTACCCGTCTCTGATATTTGTTTTTCACAAAATCAACGTTTGCCAAAAAAAATTGTCACGAAACTAACATTCTCTTGCGGCACCCCAGTTGAAAAAACGCTGCTCTGGAATTACAAAATCATTGAGATGAATGTACCCAAGTGCGGATACTTATTTTCTTTTAATATGGCACCGTACATACCATATATTTAACTTGAAGGCAATTTTTATTTCAAAATAAATTACAGTACAAGAAAACATATTTTAGTTCACCATGACAACAGAAATATATATATATATATATATATATATATTACATTACATTTATAAACATGAAGAGAACCTTAATTTTGGAATAGATCATGGATGAGGGCCCATTATACATACAAAGACAAATATACGATCAGCTGATTAGAAAAGTTACAGAGGATGCATAAATAATGATATCTTACATCCTAATTTCTTTGTTGGGCTATTTTTGGGGAGACTAGCTATATTAACGCGTACTCATCTGCGCGCAATTTATTGTTAAATTTCTAAGAAATGTAAATTCCGTACTTTGATTTGATACATGCGTCTTCTGGCAATTAAATTCGATTTGATACATGCGTCTTCTGGCAATTGAATTTGATTCAATACACGTGGCATATTAAGTCAAACTTCACAAAGGTGGAATGGATACAGAGCGAGAGGGGTGGGTGAAATCTCCTCCTAGGAGGATACATGTACGTCAAGCAAAAAGATTTGGCAGATGGGTACGAGGGCTTTGAATGTGAGCTACGAATATAAATATAATTTATACACAACCCCTGTACGAAACAAATCTATTACGTCATAAATAACTAAGAAAATGAAAGTTCATGACATTTTCTCTAAATAGCAATTTGAAGAGGAGCTCGCATTATACGTCACAGTGTTACAAATTCCCTGGGTGTGATTGTCCTCGGGCCGCGGTAATGGTGTTTCGAGGGGGGGTAATTGTCCTCGGGGGGTAGTTGTCCTCGGGTGGTAATTGTCCTCGGGGGGAGTTGTCCGCGGGGGTAATTGTTCTCGGGGGATAATTGTCCTCGGGGGTAATTGTCCTCGGGGGTAGTTGTCCTCGGGGGGTAATTCTCCGGGGGGTAATTTTCCGGGGGGTAATTGTCCTTGGGGGGTAATTGTCCTCGGGCGGTAATTTTCCGGGGGGTAATTGTCCTTGGGGGGTCATTGTCATTGGGGGGTAATTGTCCTCGGGGGGTAATTCTCCGGGGGGTAAATTTCCAGGGGTAATTGTCCTTGGGGGGTAGTTTTCCGGGGGGTAATTTTCCGGGGGGTGATTGCCCAGGGGGTAATTGTCCTGATACGCCTCAGGTAGACAAAGGAACATCCCTTCACTGCTATTATGTAAAAAGGTGAATATGCATGTGACACCTGTTCTACACATTTTTACATAATAGCAGTGAAGGGATGTTCCTTTGTGTACCTGAGGAACTATATATTTTGTCCGCTTTCTTTGTCAGTCGTGTTCATAGTGTATATCAGGCAAAGGGTATAATGCACACAAACACACACAGCACTTATCTGTAGTACTGTGTAGTGTACTTGAAGGACTCTTACAATGTCATACCCAGAGCTGTCGGAACTAGGGTTGGGTATTGGTATAGCAGAGAAGTAGATTGGTGGACTGATAAGAAGATATGTGTTTAAGTTTCCTACGAAGTGCTTTGAATATACCGCATTAGTTTGCATCTTGGTTGCAGGACAGGTTGTTGCTCAATTATGGCACAGTAATTCTGATTTGTGTGGGCATTTAAGTGGCTATGAAATTTCATGAGATGGATTATTTGGCCAAAAGTGAAGACAGTTGAATTGCATTGGTGAGGGTCCATCCTGATATTGATAGAAAGTTTAAAGGTAATAATATATCTATTGGGAAATGTGTTTAATATAGGCCTATGCCAATGAGAAATCTCCTTTCTTTGGTGGTCATAAGTGCTGTTTTTTTTTGTTTTTTTTAAAGAAGAGCAGAGATATGTGTTAAATGCAAATGTATGCTGTGAATGAGCACTTCACATTAGTCGTGCAGTGTTGTAGATATAAGTAGGGACTTGGTACTAGACGAGGGAAGAGTGGTATGTTTGAACAAAGGCTTGTGGCCGATTGCACTTGAGTTTTTCAGCTATCTTTGAAGAATGTTGTAGTGGACTTTGAGGTAGAGTGAAACTTGCTATGATGTAGTTAAAAAGTACCTAGAATGAGGGAATGTTTTTTTGGACAATCTGAAAATTGGAAGGATGGGGATGACCATGTTCCTGGTTGTTTGGAGGTGAGAGGACGCATTGCCTAAAGGAAATGCATCCTCTCACCTAGTGACTTCAAATTTGAAATTATTGGATATTTGGAAATGTGTACATGAGCATTGTAAGTAATAACACGAGGTAAACGTAGCTACGCGTCACCTAGGTTTACCCATACAAGGCTTGGGTATCTCGTACGCATCCAGTTGAAGACAATTTTTCCATTGGTGTAGATTTTTTGAGTATCTGGTAGGTGGTCGTCTGCATTCAGGGCATGCCAGAGGTGCTCAAAATATTTCCTGGCATCTATGTTGGCCTCGTCATGACCACTGCCAGGGAATCGGTATACTAGCACCAAGCACATCCAGGGTCGCAGTTGGGGGTTATTTGTAAAGTTTGGACCATGGCCACTGTTGTGTTGTTGGAGTCTGCGCTTTATAGAAGCTGTTTCGCCAACATATGCGAAATTGCGATGGGATTGGCTGACCAACATGTACACCCATATTAAAAAAAATCTTAAAAATATGATTATTGTAACCAAAACCCATTGTAACCAACCCATATTAAAAAAATCTTAAAAATATGATTATTGTAACCAAAAAAAAAATCATGAATGAATGACAATGGAATGATCTGTCTTTCATTGTAATCTTGGCTGCTATGTTGTTTTTTGTTCACCAGAGCACTCAAATCTTTAATTTTGAGCATATTTTTGTGAGGCCCTCTAGGTTATTAGCATGGTTTTTACAGTACCATATTTAGAGGCACTTTAGGGGAAATTAGGACCTCAATAACGTGGAGAAAAACCGCCAGAGTAGTCAGACTTTCAAGCATCAGTGTACAAAATTGACAAGAATTTAATCAAAATTTATACCTCAGAGATACAAATTTGTGATATATAAACTGCTATATTCAATAACTAATTTTACTCAAAAATGTTTTTAATTAAAAGCAAAAAAAAAACATAAAATCACAAGACAACTCACACCGCCGGCGAGCCTTGTCGTTATCATTGTGTGCATTTGTGTGTTACCGCGGGTGCCGACTTTCCTCAATTGCACCACCCCGTATATGCGCTATTGTCACCTATGAGTATGAGGTCAAAGACGGTGGTGTTTCACCTCATTGGCACCCCTAGGTCTAGGAGTAGGAGTAGGAGTGTTTAACTTGTTACTTAGACTAGGGCCTTGCAAGAATGTGCTCAGGATTGAAGATTTGAGCGCTCTTGTGAATAAAAAATAACCAAACAGCCAAGATAATAATGAAAGACACATAATTCATGAATGAGATTTTTTTTGTTACAATAATCATATTTTTAAGACTTTTTTTAGTATGGGTTGTGTGCTGCTAAGTTTCACTAGATCTACACACAGGGTTGTTCAGCAGTGCGAGTGGTGCAGTGTCACAAACAAATTTTTATTTCATCATTAATTTTAATTTATACCGGTATATAATGAACATGTTGCATGTTGTACTGTATGTGCGTGAGATTAAAAATAATAAAATAAAATAACTTCAGTTTACTTACAAACACATCAGGTTACTTGGCAGACATGTTTCACAAATTTTGGTGTCCGGCGGGTATACATGCGATGGCGTCCTGTGGTTTCCTACGGTGAAAATCGCTATTGAATAATGCGTGAGAGAAGTATTATTTGGCTTATAAATCGCCAAAAAAATCGCCAATGACTTTTGTAGCCAATGGCTTAAAGGGCTTATAAATCGCCAATGACGTCATCAAATCAGACAACTTGACAAAAAACAGATAAATTCTCCTAATTACCTGCGAGTCATTTAATTTCAAGGAAGTCGTATGTAATTAAAACTGTTCAGTGTTGTATCCATGTATTTAAAGCGAAAAAGGGTAAACGTGATCATACAAAACTGGAGCTCTTTATTCACAACAGGTCCTTTCCTAATGAAAGCATTTACAGTGTTCCGATGGAGTGTTCGATGAATAGCGCCGCCTTCGGCGTTCCGGGAACTATGCGTCTAGTCTTGTTCAAGGCAAAGGTTACAAATTGTGAATATCTTTAAACTAAATTTAAAGGAACATTCATTACAGAAGCTATAAATATTATGAGAAAGACAAGTTCTTTGACAGTTTACTCTCAGAATACTGGGAAAGTGTATACGTATTTACAGACGTTAATAAGGCGTATAATATATTTGTACAAATATTTGTAGGTTTGGGTGATAAACATGCACTAAATGTTCATCAATATTCTTCTAGGACGAAGGACCATGGACAACGAGAGCTATTTAAAAGTCGATTAAAAGAAAACATGAATTGTTTGGTAAAGTAATAAAGTCAAACTATAATGAGAGATAATTTGAAAAGATATAAGACATATAGAAATATTCTAAACACAATTTTGAGGAATGATAAAGTTTAATTCTTTGTTTGACTATTTGTGAGGAGATTAGCCAGGAAGCCATTTTCACTTTTTGAATCAGCGTCATCCACGCATAGTTGGTATTTTGATTATCTTGTAGTAATATTTTACTAGTAAGGGGGCAAATTTATGTTTCTTTATTACGAATCGTGTCATATTACATGTAAAACGTAGACGGTTCAACATTTTGGGGCAAGGTTATTTCACTCATTGAAAATGTTTCTACATAGCTTCGTGTGAATGTTTGTCTCCATGAGAAGACAAACAGTATTATGTTAGAGAAAGAGAGAAGTCTAATAATGGAATAGGAATGACTAATATTTGAATTGCGTTGAATATTTGCATCATACTTAGCTACCTACACAGGACTTTGGATCACATTGAAAACGACAAATATGATATTTGCACATTGCGATTCTAAATTTGAAAAGGAAAATCAGTGTAGTGTATACAAATGCTTGTAACATGCACAATGAAACCAGACTGCATCTGCTACAAAAGATTTAGATTCTTACAAATTTCGAAGTAGAGCGTTGAGAGAACAGTAGATGATTACAAGAAACTGTTCTATATAATGATGTCCTGGTAAGCCGGTGCCTCTTCCAATATGGAGGGCATTGATCAACAGCTTCATGAGGCAGCATTGAGGGGTAAAATCAAAAGTGTTAACAAACTGCTAAAAGAGGGTTCTAACATAAACCAGGCAGACCAAGATGGAAACACCCCATTACACATGGCGGTCATGTATGGCCATGATAATGTCATCGAGTGTCTCATAAATCATGGAGCTGATGTGGAGAAGGCGACTCCAGATGGACAAACACCCTTACATCTTGCTGCATCACTCGGACGTTTTAAAGCAACGAAAGTTATACTCAGTCATGGAGCTAGTATGGACAAAGAAGACAAGGACGGCTGCTCTGCATTATACATCGCTGCAAGATACGGTGAACTTGATATAATGCAATATCTGATGAGTCGAGGAGCTGAGGTGAATAGGGGAGATAAAAACGGTGTGACTGCATTACACATTGCTGCAATCAAGGGTCATCTTGATGTCACCAACTATTTGATCAGTCAAGGAGTTGAAGTGAACAAAAGGGATAATGATGGCAGGACTGCATTGCACAGTGCTGCTCAGGAAGGTCATCTCGATGTTACCAAACATCTAGTCATTCAAGGAGCAGAGATGAATAAGGGAGATATTGACGGTTCGACTGCATTGCACATTGCTGCTTTCAGTGGTCATTTGTATGTCACCAAATACCTCATCATTCAAGGAGCTGAATTGAATAAGGGAGATAATGCCTGTTTGACTGCATTTCACCTTGCTGCTTTCCGTGGTCATCTTGATGTCACCAAATATCTCATCAGTCATGGAGTTGAGGTGAATAAAGGGGATAATGAAGGTGCGACTGCATTACACTGTGCTGCTGTCAATGGTCATCTTGATGTCACCAAATATCTGATCAGTCAAGGTGCTGAGGTGAATAAGGGAGATGATCACGGTTGGAATGCATTGCACTTTGCTGCCTTCAATCATTCTTATGAGGTCACCAAATATCTCATCAGTCAACGAGTAAAGGTGAATAGGGGAGATAATGAAGGTGCGACTGTAATACACAGTGCTGCAAACATGGGTCATATTGAGGTCATCAAATGTCTCATCAGTGAAGGAGTTGAGGTGAATAAGGTGGACGAAGACGGTAAGACTGCATTTCACTTTGCTGCAAGTAATGGTCATTTTGCGGTCATCAAATTTCTCATCAGTCAAGGAGCTGAGGTGAATACTAGAGATAATGACGGCAAGACTGCGTTGCACCTTTCCACAGTTAATGGTCATCTTGATGCTACAAAATATCTGATCAGTCAAGGAGTTAAAGTGAATGAGGGAGATAATGATGGTAAGGCTGCACTACACAGTGCTGCTCAGAATGGTCATCTTGATGTCACCAAATATCTCATCAGCCAAGGAGCTGAGGTGAATAAGGGAAATGATGAGGGTAGGACTGCATTACACAGTGCTGCTCAGAATGGTCATCTTGATGTCACCAAATATCTGATCAGTCAAGAGGGTGAGGTGAATAAGGAAGATAAAGACGGTTGCACTGCACTACACAGTGCTGCTCAGAATGGTCATCTTGATGTCACCAAATATCTCACTATTCAAGGAGCTGAGGCAAATAGGGGAGCTATTGATGGTAGGACTGCACTACACAGTGCTGCTCAGAATGGTCATCTTGATGTCACCAAATATCTGATCAGTCAAGAGGGTGAGGTGAATAAGGAAGATAAAGACGGTTGCACTGCACTACACAGTGCTGCTCAGAATGGTCATCTTGATGTCACCAAATATCTCACTATTCAAGGAGCTAAAGTAAATAGTGGAGTTAATGATGGTGCCACTGCATTACACATTGCTGCTCAGAAAGGTCATCTTGATGTCACCAAATATCTGATCAGCCAAGGAGCTGAAGTGAATAAGGGAAAAGATAACGGTTCGACTGCATTACACAGTGCTGCTCAGAAAGGCCATCTTGATGTCACCAAATATCTGATAAGTCAAGGAGCTGAGGTGAATAGGGGAAATAATGACGGTTGGACAGGATTAAACAGTGCTGCTTTCAATGGTCACCTTGATGTCAACAAGTATCTGATCAGTCAAGGAGCTGAGGTGAATAAGGGAAGTAATGACGGTTGGACTGCATTACACTGTGCTGCTCTCAATGGTCATCTTGATGACGCCAAATATCTGATCAGTCAAGGAGCTGAGGTGAATAGAGGAGTTAATGACAGTGCGACTGCATTACACAGTGCTGCCCAGGAGGGTCATCTTGATGTCACAAAATATCTCATCAGTCAAAGAGCTGAGGTGAACGAGGTAGATAATGATGGTTGGACTGCATTACACTCTGCTGCTTTCAATGGTCATCTCGATGTCACCAAATATCTGATCAGTCAAGAGGGTGAGGTGAATAAGGAAAATAAAGACGGTTGCACTGCACTACACAGTGCTGCTCAGAATGGTCATCTTGATGTCACCAAATATCTGATCAGTCATAAGGGTGAGGTGAATAAGGAAGATAAAGACGGTTGCACTGCACTACACAGTGCTGCTCAGAATGGTCATCTTAAAGTCACCAAATATCTCACTATTCAAGGAGCTGAGGCAAATAGGGGAGCTATTGATGGTAGGACTGCATTACACAGTGCTGCTCAGAATGGTCATCTTGATGTCACCAAATATCTGATCAGTCAAGAGGGTGAGGTGAATAAGGAAAATAAAGACGGTTGCACTGCACTACACAGTGCTGCTCAGAATGGTCATCTTGATGTCACCAAATATCTGATCAGTCATAAGGGTGAGGTGAATAAGGAAGATAAAGACGGTTGCACTGCACTACACAGTGCTGCTCAGAATGGTCATCTTAAAGTCACCAAATATCTCACTATTCAAGGAGCTGAGGCAAATAGGGGAGCTATTGATGGTAGGACTGCACTACACAGTGCTGCTCAGAATGGTCATCTTAATTTCACCAAATATCTGATCAGTCAAGAGGGTGAGGTGAATAAGGAAGATAAAGACGGTTGCACTGCACTACACAGTGCTGCTCAGAATGGTCATCTTAAAGTCACCAAATATCTCACTATTCAAGGAGCTGAGGCAAATAGGGGAGCTATTGATGGTAGGACTGCACTACACAGTGCTGCTCAGAATGGTCATCTTGATGTCACCAAATATCTGATCAGTCAAGAGGGTGAGGTGAATAAGGAAGATAAAGATGGTTGCACTGCACTACACAGTGCTGCTCAGAATGGTCATCTTGATGTCACCAAATATCTGATCAGTCAAGAGGGTGAGGTGAATAAGGTAGATAAAGACGGTTGCACTGCACTACACAGTGCTGCTCAGAATGGTCATCTTGATGTCACCAAATATCTCACTATTCAAGGAGCTGAAGTAAATAGTGGAATTAATGATGGTGCCACTGCATTACACATTGCTGCTCAGAAAGGTCATCTTGATGTCACCAAATATCTGATCAGCCAAGGAGCTGAAGTGAATAAGGGAAAAGATAACGGTTCGACTGCATTACACAGTGCTGCTCAGAAAGGCCATCTTGATGTCACCAAATATCTGATAAGTCAAGGAGCTGAGGTGAATAGGGGAAATAATGACGGTTGGACAGGATTAAACAGTGCTGCTTTCAATGGTCACCTTGATGTCAACAAGTATCTGATCAGTCAAGGAGCTGAGGTGAATAAGGGAAGTAATGACGGTTGGACTGCATTACACTGTGCTGCTCTCAATGGTCATCTTGATGACGCCAAATATCTGATCAGTCAAGGAGCTGAGGTGAATAGAGGAGTTAATGACAGTGCGACTGCATTACACAGTGCTGCCCAGGAGGGTCATCTTGATGTCACAAAATATCTCATCAGTCAAAGAGCTGAGGTGAACGAGGTAGATAATGATGGTTGGACTGCATTACACTCTGCTGCTTTCAATGGTCATCTCGATGTCACCAAATATCTGATCAGTCAAGGAGCTGAGGTGAAT